ATGTAGTTTATATCATCTAAGACATACTCTTGTGTAGTCTTGTCTTAACAACCAGCTTAGTATCTACTATGTACTCTACTTTGTATTCTGGTTTAGAACTAATGAGTTCTGGTAGAGACAGTAAGGGTCTTTATTGTGAAGGAAAACCTGGATTGTAGTACTAAGACAGTAGAACCTTATTAAACACTAGGTGTATACACTTTCATGTTGCTAGTAGTTAGAGTTTATAGACAGAGGCACTAATCTTCTTTTTAATAACAAAGGGTCTGAAGTACTTGTTGTCCAACTTCTTCATTAGGCAATCTGTAGTCAGGTTAGTAGCTTCTAACATAACTTTGTCCCTAGGCTGGTAATCCTTAGCTATAGATCTCTTCTGATTGTAGTTCTACTTTATTACCTGTACTACCTTCTCTAAAAGAGCTTGTGTGTCTTCCCTAGTCTTGTGTATCTGTTCTGTAAAGTCTGTTACAGATTCAGAACTACTGTTCTGGTTCAGAACTGTCCCCTAGTACAGATGTCTCTCATAATTAAGGAAGAATAGGGACTGTCCTATTGTAGAGTGTTGTCAGTTATTGTGTACAAATTCTGCCAGAGCTAACCATTCAGACCAATCTGATTACTAATGATTGATAAACATCTAGAGGTAGAGCTTGATCTTCTGATTGACTTGCTCAGTTTAACTGTTAGTCTGTAGGTAATATATAGTGGAAGGGTTCTCTTGAATTCTGAGAAGTACATACAAGTCTTGTATGAATTTCAACTTAAATTGTGGTCTGCAATTGTGAATAAGCTTTTAAGGGAGTCTGTACAACTAGAAGACATGATCCTAATAAATACACACTATACTTTCAGAAGTGAGTTCTGTTCAGGTTGGAACTGTGTAGACTTGCTTAGAGAATTGGTTAGGCCCTGCTCGGTTGCACTGGTTGCACGACCAGTGCCTGCCAAATTCTCAACCACTGGTTGCGTGACCAGTGGTTGCAAACCATCAACCATCAGACGTGTTCGGGAGCACGTCTGGTTTGGTGATAGCGTGACACCGCTTGGCTCTTACCACTCCTACCCTGTGCACTATGCTCTCCAGCTTTCCTCGTCGCTGCTCCTCTTTCTTTTTTTCTTTTTTTTTGTAGTATACTGCTCTACCTGTATTCTGCTTTACTTTTGCCAATCCAAGCTTCGGATTCCAACCAGTAATCTTGAAACCTGTCAAATCTGCCTGCATATATGCCCCCTACAAGAAATTCACGTGCTAATAAGGAGAACGAACCAATTACTCGCCCTACTGTTTGTCAGAAGGCAAAATGGACTCTTATGGACGATACAAAGCTGGTTGAATGTCTTGAATACCAGAAGAGTATAGGCAACCAGTCTGATAGTGGTTTCAAATCAATCACTTGGACGTATGCTGCTTCTGAGCTTAACAAAGTTGTTGTTGAGGGTGGGGAGAAGACGGCTAGTGGTGTTAAGGATCATTGGCAGCAAGTAGTATGTATTCACTCAGTAAACATAACCTAAAAGCTTCCCTCCTAATGTCTCTTATCTTTAGTTGAAGTCAGGATATGTTGCAATTGATTGGCTTCTTCACAAAGCCTCTGGTTTTGGGTGGGATTCTACTCGTCATCTCGTTACTGCAGATGATGATGTATGGACCCGACTTATAGAGGTATGCCTTTGTTTTTGTATGTATTATGTATTTTACATATTAATACTGGATGCATGCAGGCTCATCCAAAGTATGGAATATGGCAGACACGGCCATTTCCACTCTTCAATTCTATTGCTGAACTTATTGGTGGAAGGACTGCCAATGGTAGGGACTCACTTGATATAACAGAGGAGAATGATTCTGAGACAGGAGAGACAGTTTTGGATGGTAAGCTGGTCAATTTACTTCTATTCTACATATACTGAAGGGCATATAGGTAACAACAACATGTTTCAATTGAGTGACGGCTCAAATGAAAGTACATTCAATGTACTTGATGATGTAAGTTATATCCTTTCTTTTTACCTACATTTTCTAATATTCACTTAGATACTGCAAAG